CCACCATTCGCTTGAGAGATACTGAGGTGGCTGGTCATCAGGGGACTGCACAAAGGAGGTGAGATTTGAGAAGCAGTGCAGAGGTCAGAGAGGATGCTTACGCACAGGAGTCCGTTTAGGAGAAACCAAAGTGCTATGAAAACTTATGGAAAAGGGAAGAAAAATATTTCTGATGAGATTTATCTCCAGCCATTAATGATCTGCACATGGAAGGAAGTGGAACGTGTTGTCTAGTCTCCTTCAAGCTCAGCTGATTCCTGTAGCCTGACAGTGCCTGCAGCCTGGCAGCAGCAGACCTGAATTTTTTCTGCTTTACAGAGCTCTTCCCTATTTCAGAAACACTGTTGCTTGTGTAGAGTACCTAAATTTTTCAGAAACCATGTTGAATTGGTGTTCTGGCAGACTGCTCCAAGGCCAGCCCAAGCAAAGCTCTGTACACAGTGCTGGAGGGTGGCAGGCGCTCTAGGTAAGTGATCTTGATAGGTACATTCTGATTGATGGGGGAGTTTGTCTCCCAAACTGTCACAGGGTTTATAGAGGTGCCACTCAATACCAGTGCTGGAATTGCTTGTCAGAGCACCTGGCTACAAGAGCAATGGGGATTGGCGACAGAGCTGTAACTTTGTTTTTTCTCTGCTTAATGGCCCCAGCGTCTGACCTGCCTGCTCACTCCTGTTTGTCTGGACCTTAAGGAGGCAGCTGGGATTAAGACTGTCAGAGGATTGTGCTGCTTTAGCATCAGGAGGCTAATTGTATCAGGGCTGGCAGTGTATGACAAGCAGTTGCTTCCTACCAAATGCATGGCAAGAGCAAAGAAATCCTTCAACAAGGAAAGAGAAAGTTATAGGCGAGTCTACTTTTTGGTTTGTTCTTTTATCATCTGAAAGCAGCGCTTTCAAATTCACGTGGAATTAGTTCCTTAAGCCTTAGGTGACGCTCCTTGCAAGAGTTGCAACTGCTTCTGTGAATAACAGATCACGTATCTTGTGAGTTCCTAGGTCAAACTTACAACTTAACATTCAGTTGTCGGTTTTCACTTGATTAACACATTGGGATAAAGTTCTGGTCGTGAGCATTGACCTCTGGTTAGCAGCATTAGCTTTAGCGGTCTGCTCTAGGCAGCATTGCTGATGGCCATGAATTACTGCACGACCTTCGGAAGCCAAGCCTTGCTGGAGGGACCCTTCCTCGTTCCCAGTGCACGCTATTGAATTGCAAATCATGCGAGTGCAGTGGTAGTGGGTCTTGTGGAAGCTCCCGTTCTCCTCTAGCAGGTCTGAAACAATGCTGCTACAAAGGCCATTTTGCTGACACCCTCAGCGCTCCATTTCACATTTTCCTTGCTCCTGGATGGCAGCATACACTGCAGGCAGGAGCTGGAAGTTGTGAGCCCTCTTTACACTTGGGCTGAGTTAGTGAGAAGCAGGTGTGATCCTATCGGGCCTTCCTTGCATTTAGTGGTCCTCTTAATCCATTTATAACAGCACTTGTCCAGAAATCTGGTTTCAATGAGCCTGAGATGAATGAATAATGTCAAGCAGTTCAGACGTCAAATATTTGAACAGCTGCGTGGGTGTTTTCACTGGCTTTGTGCATGGAAGCAACCCCAGGAAGTTAGATAAGGAGGGTCAGGTTGAAATTGTGGCACCAAACCTCAGCCCGCCGGAACTGGCCTCAAAATCCATAAAAAAAGAAAGGGCATTAGGATGCCAGTGGCAGGCCGTTTGCTCTGCAGGTGATGCTGGGCCGAGCTTTGTACCCTGTTCTTTGGTGTTTTCTTGTGTGCAGTGACAGTGCCAGGATTTTTGGACCTCTTGATTCACATTGGAAACGCGTTTTCTGGATTTTTTCTTTTTTTTCTTTTTCTTTTCTTTTTTTTTCTTTTTTTAAAGTAGCCTCTGAAGTCCTAAAACTGCGATAGCACAGCTTATATTCAAAGTCTTTTCTGGGTTCATGAAGGTTACTTTGTTTGGCATACAGTTTCTGAATCATTTTTGTACCAAATTGCAATGGTCTGCTTTTGGTCATGTTAAAAAAAAAAAGGCCCATATTTGGTGAAAATCTGAGAGTTTGATCACCATATTGTGGCCTCCTTTAGTCCTTGGCCTGAGAGTCCTCATTTGATCAAAAAGGAAAATTTACCTTTCTCCTGCCCCTCATCTTAACCTGTGACCTTCTCTGCTGTGCCCTCCTCTCTGACTGAAATGCTGTATCAGATCATGCCAGTGTGTATCTGTTACCATGACACATACTGTCCAAACCTTTCCCCTGTACTCCCCTTGTGTAGGGAGGATGGCACTCTGTTGGTAGTGCAGTGGTTCCTATTCTAGAGCTAGATTCAGCAAAAGCTTTGGAGTATTTTCCTTTCAGACTTAAAGGGAATTTTCTTAAGTACAAAGGTTTTAAGAGCAAGGACACCAGGATTCTGAAGTCAAGACACCTTAATATTTGTAAATTGTATCACAGTAAGCAGATCTTCTTTTCTTAAGCTCTAACCATAAACCACTAGTTGGTTTGAGTCACTTGGAAACAAAATTGATGGAAAGGTGCATGTTTGCTGTATACTTGGCATCCTTACAGAGGGGGGGAACACAGGGGAGTGGTCCCATGCTCCTTCCATTCGCTCTTTTGGATACTTCCCCCCATGGCCCAAGGCACTTACTCCAAGTATTCATTGTCTGGCTAATGTTCATATCACCTCTGGGACTGGCCAAGTCACAGCTCCAGCTTTGCATGATTTGTGTTTTCCCCAGCTACAAGAAAAATGAAGAGCTATGTGTCCCAAAGTTTATGGCCTTTGAGAAGTGATGGGCTGAAGTAATGCCAGGTGCAGGGGATGGTGTTACTGCAGGTTAAATGCCATGCCTGTAAATTACCACCCCATTGCCCACTGCGACTTTCAAGGCAGCTTTGGAAGACTATCCAGCTTCTTTGACAGGTGTCTCTTACTCCTCTAAATCTTCTCCCAAACTTTGTGATGAACTGAACATGTGTTGGCTGGCAGTGTGCAGCCAGTATGTAAAAGACTTTAAAAGGGGTCTGCTGGAAGAGGACTGCCCCAGTGACACTGCAGAGCTGACCTACAAGCATGGCTCCTGCAGCAGCTGCCGCCGACGATGGATGCTGTATTGTCGGTGCTAGTTTTGTTACCTCTGCTAAAAATTAAGGCTGGCAATTACTTTGAAGTAAAAGGTGGTTTATGATTCTAGGGAAAGGTTAGTCTTAAAATCATTGTCATGCTACGGTTATCACTTGTTAAGGACCTTCTTTATATTCAGGGAAGAGAAATATCAAATCCATATAAACAAATTTTATTGGGGGCTTAATGAATCAGCAAGAGCATCCGTTCCTAGAGAGCGACAGTGAAGAACTGTGTCTGCATGGTGTCCTTGGAAATGAGACCTTCGCCTTGCCCTGCTCTGCACAGATGCAGACCGTTAGAAATATAGCTTACTCTCCTGGGCTGAAAAAGTGCAAGTTTGCTGCTGACAGCACAAGCTTGTGTAAGTGTGCTGGTGAGAGCCCAGTGGGATGAACAGACTCGGACATCTGTAGCGCTAAAAGGGCTACCCTAACCCTTGGGAATGTCCTTATTCTCCAGACATGCACCATATATTCAGTGTTTCTATGATAATTTTAGCCTGTCTTTTGCATTTAGAACCACATTCACAGGGCAGAAATGTACCCGCGTTGGGGCATTTCTACAAAGCCAAGGCTACATCTACCTTAGTCTTTCGGTGTTTGCGGGTGGGATGTGATCCTTAGTCTAGCTACAGACTGAGGTTACCAACCATCTGGATGTGCCAGGTCCTTCAGGCTCCAGCAGGTACCCTCTCTCTGCGAGCCAGGCATCCAGGGCTGCTGTCTGGACAGTGGGATGCTAAGTGGAGGTGCATACTGGAGGCAGACAGAGTGATCAAATTTCTATCTGCGTAGCTTATGTCCCCAAACAGCGTAGATCTGCTGCAGAACTGAACACAACTGAGGACCTTGCACCACCCTAGGATTCAGGAGATCTTTGCTTAATTTCCAGTGTCATGGGAGAGAGCATATCCAGTGTTAGATCTCATAAAGAGTAAATATGTTCCTTAGTTTCCCTTCTATTGGTAAACCTTAGGCACCAAATACCATGTGGTTCATCTTTGTAAGTGTTTGCGTGCAGATTCAATTAGAAGAAGCCTGTTTAATAACAGTAATAACACAGTCAACAAAATGCTTGAGAACCAAAATAAATTTTTGTTGTTAGAAAGTGGCAGTTGCAGTTGTTAGACAGTTCAGCATCAGGTGGAACTGTTTATGCTTGCTTCCTGCTGGAATTGGGACTGGGCTCGTGCCTGATCCACCCATGTTGGAAGTGCAGGACTCTTTTTGACTTGCACTGGAATTTGCTCACACAAGAGGTGCTTGTAAGGGGCTGTTAATGACTGTGGAGTCTGATTGGTTTGGGGTTTTTTTTCCCCCCTCTCCTAGAAACAGGTGCACTATTCTTCAGTGTTTTATATTGTAAAAATCTAAGCCATGACTAAATGCATCTAAAAAAGAAAAAAGTATTTCTAATTGTATTTTAGCTTCTGCCTGCCTTCTGCATCTGAATTAAGGACTAATTCAGAATGTCCCTGTGGCCTTCTCTTAAGTGTTAGTAGTGTATTTTTTGTGTTAACCACTTCTATGAAAAATCAGTCTTCCCTGTTTTGCTTCATTTTTTCCTGCCTTTGAGAGAGACCTTTCCAGTGCCTTCAACTTTAAAATAACTCACGTGGAGAGCAAAAAGTCAAGAATGTTTCATTTTCAGTGTTGAGGGGCATTTTAGAGCATAAAATCCAGGAAACTAGAGCATTTCTGTGAGTGTTTTCTGTGCAGTCTCTGGAGATGGTACCTTTTGTGAGGCTGTTAAGAGTAAAGGACAGCCTGCAGGCTAGCGCTATTACACCATCCTTAGGAGATCTCCTACACTTCAGGTCCAATTCAAATGCTCATCTACATGTTTTATTTTCTTTCAGGTTCTGGGTTTATCATGTGCAGTGGCAAGGAGAATCCAGACAGCGACGCTGACCTGGATGTGGATGGAGACGACACACTTGAATACGGGAAACCACAGTATCGTTTTTGAAGGGCTCTTGCAGAGGGGGAACCTAGAGGTGCATCTTCAGCTAGCTTTCATAAAGCACTGCCCTGGGTAGTGGTGGATAATCTGTGTCCAGCCCTACTGGTAATGATACCACCTTCTCAGTTACCATGTTATTTGAACTAGGAGGGATTCACAGTTACTCCCTTTGAGATCCTTCTGTTGATGCAGCACTACTTCAGACCCAGTCGGTGAAGTCTGTAGGAGACACTGCAGGAGATCAAAGTTAATGTTTCCCTATTCTGTTTCATAAGCAATCTGTTGTCTCCTTCCAGGTTTCTTCCATATGGATAGCTTTTCCTGCTTCGTGGGTAGGAACTGAGTTTATTTTCCACACAACACGCCTTTGTTTTCAGGGTTTTTGTGCAGTAAACATTTCAAGCACTATTCACCTGCTACTCTGAGAGACTGGATTTTTTTCCTTTCATTAGACAGTTCGTGGGCAGAACTATCATTAAGGGCAGTTTTTGGGAGCTTCTCCATCTGTGAGCCAGGCTCTTCAGACACAGCTCTGGGAGAGCTGTGGGCAGACTTCTGCCCTGCAGCAGCTGTAGCAGCCATGAAGGAGGAATTCCTGCAAGGGTATTAGGCAGATGTTGACTTAGCTGTGATGAGGGGTATTATATATCTGTAGAATTAGATTTTATTGAAATCTGTACTAGCCTTTAAGACTGAAGCCCCAACCCTTAGCTGGTAAAAGATCTCTGTACCTCAAACAGAAATAGTGGAATTGTGCAAGGTAGGCTTGCAGAGGTTGCAGAAGTGGTTTTCCCCTTCTAAAGGCTGTGGCATCATCTTGCTGACAAAAGACTTTTCTGTTTCTTTCCACCTAAAATACAGCTTTAATCCAGAATTTAAAAGCAGGCCCCTCCATGGATACCAGTCCCTCTTCTTTTGAGGTGTTCCCAGTTGGAATGAATTTGTTCTGTATCCCAGATAGTGTCCTAACCATCTCAAAAGCCTTTCCACTATCTGCAGCAAGGTGCTATGTTCCTTAACCCCTTGTGCTCAGGTACACAGAGGCAGACGTTATCCCTTGCACTGGGGAAGAGCCAGGTGAAGCCAAAGAGAGGGAGGCGCTCCGAGGTGCTGTTTTAAAGTAAGTACTGTGCCTTCCTAATTTGCTTTCATTACTTTTGGGGAATCTCAATTTGTGGAAAATACCTGTTCACTTGAGCGCAAGGGTCGCAATGAGAGAGACTTACAAAGAAGCATAGTGTGACAGGTGGGTCTCCATTTCTACCCGTGCAGCCTCATAAAGCCTCCCTGCACACTCTTCTGTCCCTTAACCACTCCACTGCCCAGCCAGTGATGTCTTCTCCCTGAACAGTGCTGGCCAGAAGGTGAATTCTGGTGCTGGGGAAACTGCTGTACTAAGGCCTTCTGCGTCATCTTGCTTCATGATGAAATGTGGCCTCTTAGTAGTATAACGTGATGCCATCCGAATCTTGTTTGGCACATTAGAAGTCTGGCACCCAGAGTATGATTTCATTGCATTATGTGTTGTGGGTACACAAACTAATCCTTCTGCATTCGGCTCTGGGGTTGGGGCAGGATGTGTGCTCTGCCCACACACATATGTGGAGAATGTAGGCAGCCAGTGTTCAGGGCACTTGGGGAAGCATTTCAGGCAAGTAAAATGAGTCTTAACAGGGAGCTAGGATTGCTTTCTAAGCCCTCTGCCCTGCATAAAACAGGGCTTAAATTACCCCTCTATCTCTTTTCACTGAGTGATCCTGTGAGGTCAAGGTTGAAGTGATTGATAGAGCAGTGAAATGAAGTTTTCTTACTGCTTAGCCTGTCACAAATGCTAGTTCAAAATTAGGTTCCACTCCATAGAAATGTGGCATTTGCCACACTGGATCCAAACCATTGGTCCGTTTGATATTTTGCTAACCATGCTAGTCCATAGGCAGAGCCTCAAAGATGCTGAAGTTCCTTCACAGCCACGACAGTGGTGGTGCAGCAGGAGGGTATCGGGATATCCCTTATCAGTGGCTGTGGACACTCAGTGCTTGGTGAGACGACTGAGGCCCTGAGCCTGAGACACTCAGTTCCTTCATGTGGCTTGCACCTAACACATCGTTTTGCTGTTTGGGCAAGGTCCTTGCATGTCTGCTGGACTTGTTTGCCCATCTCTTAAACAGGAGAGGTGGTGTTACTTGTAAAAGCACTTTGAAATTGTGGCAAGTTTCCGTAGAAATGCAGTAGGGTACCTGATACTGTGAAGCATGAGCCTATGTTACTTTTTGAGTGCAACTGTCTTAGCACATGGAGCTAAAATGTTATACAGTCACAGGTGTGCAGCCTGCTCAGAAGATTCCTTTCTCTTGCAGTCTCTGTTTACTGGCTCACAAGTGAATTGACAGGGTTAGGAGTTGTCTGTACTTCAATGCTGCTGTTCTTCAAATGGGAGGATGGAAAAGGTGGGGCTTATGAAGGTGTGAAGTTATTCCTAAAGGGAGAAGCTATTGCAACACAGAGGATTTCTGTTCACGAGTAAGGCTTTCATCTTTGAAATTGTGTATGCAAAAATGAGCCTTAGGTCACAGGTGCTGTTTGAATCCCAAGCCTTCAGTCAGCATCACAACCCCTGTGTGATTCAGCAGAGGTCACAGCTAGATGCACACGTTGGAACAACATTGGTGGAAGTGTGGACTAACACAAAAACATCTCCTGCAGCAGGCCAGCCACTCACATTTTGAAGCCTAGACTGATGGATAGAAGTATTGAGAGAGAAGTGGTGGGTGGAAGCGGTAGCTTGTCCTGAGTAGCAAGATTTTCCATACTCAGGCCTAAGCATTCTGTTCTTTTCTCTTTTAGTGGTGGCACACCCAGTACTCGAATAACACCGGAGTTTTCTAAATGGGCCAGCGACGGTGAGTGTTGAACTTGTAAATTATTAATTTGTATGGTACAGGAGGGCAGATAGATACTCCATATCTGATTGTCAGTAATTAGGCAAATGGTAGTTAACATACGATCTTGCACGGTACCACCATATATGCATGCACATACAATCACACTATCTTTTTGAAACTTTACAGCACAATTAACTGTAGTCACTAGCAGCTGGGGGAGTTCCCAAAAATGCAACCTTAACTGGTATGGCAATAAGAGAGAGGGGTTGGATTGACGTGCCGTTGTGTTCCTAAAAGACAAACTGCTGTATCACAGAGGGAGCTATCAGAGCTTGACTATGTGATGGTGGTGTTCAGCTGTTGGGGGTTTAAACTACACAGGCACCTGTTGCTTGGGGTTTTTTTCAACTGCTTTCTTATCTTCCCTTCTTTAAAAGGGTATGCTAGAGTCTTGTATCATGATCTGTTGGATAGGTCTTGTCCTTGCTGGCCTCTGTATGGCAAGAAAAGCCTGCAGCTCTGAAGCCTGCATCTTTAGAGTGGGAACTCTAAGTTCTGTCCTGCTTCATGACCTGTAGTTGAGACGCCGGAGCAAACGAGTGAATGTGAAAGTGTACCTTTGCGTGCATTACTTGAAAGCTCATAGCATTAAGCGGGGGGTATTAAACCCATTCAACTGCTGAGTTTTTTTATTTAATGCCAGCAGCGCTGGAAGTGTAAACAGCAACCTAGTGGAAATATGAGAATAATAAAACCTGGCGCTTTCCAGCTGTAGATGCCAAATCCATTTCCAGAGTTGGGCAGTGCTGCTCCAGCTCCCTTAGGAAGGAAAGTGAAGCTCAGCGACCTGAAGAGACTTGTCCCAATGATTTTATTCCCTGTTCTGTTTACTGTAATGCTTTGGGCATTTGATTCGCAGCCTTGAAAGTACCTACAAGACATAACTGCTTGCCAGTGGAGGGGGGGTGGGTGAGTAGAACCAGTTTTGCCAAGGGCATGATGATTAAATGGAGAACATAGGATATCTATCGCAGGCATTTTCTTCTGTGGGATAGGCAATCACATTTATTTTCTGTGATGTAGGAGCACTTGCTTGTAGGCGTGTTCAGCTCCAGTAACTACAGCCACAGAGGTGATGAGGAAGCAGCCCTGATGGCACTTGCTATGAGCTTTTTTCTTTGTACCTTTTACCTGAAGCTACGGTGCTGAACCTACAGCCCAAGGGCTAGCCCCAGGACAGTTCATATGGCTCATCTCCAACTGATCACTCACACCCCCTCCAGTGCTGGGAGAAGCCATGGGACTGCTAGTACTAGGAGAGCTATGAGCAGACTTTTCTGTCATACTAGTTACCTGGCATATATTTTTCTCTCTGTCTGAGGGATCTCAGAAAACGGGAGAAGCTAAGAGCAGGGTTTGGGTTGGGTGGATTTGCTCCAGACCCACCTTCCTAGAACACTTTGGCATAGCAGCTGTATCAAACCTGTCTGAATTAAATCCTGGCTTGAACAACTGGTACATCTGAGGGTCAGTCAGTATGAAGTGGAGAAACGTTAGGGGTTGTATCATCATTCCCAAATCATAGAAGCATGCTGTCCAGAGAGAGGGCCTCCCTGCCAGACAGGGACACGTAGCATCGGTCTCTTCTCTCTTTCCGAGAACCAGCATGAAAATGACTCATCGGGGTCCTCTGCTTCTGAAACCGTAACTCACTCAGACTATTTCTTTGCAATGATCAGATGTTCTCTTACTAATTTGTCTGTTCTTCCCTCAACAGAAATGCCTTCAACGAGTAACGGTGAAAGCAGTAAACAGGAGACCATGCAGAAGACCTGTAAGAACAGTGACATTGAGAAGTGAGTGTAAAATGGATAGCTTTAATTTTTCTTGTTTTAAGGAGCCATAGTGTCCCATCTGGTGTTCCCAGAAGCAGTGCTAGTCTGAGAGTAGGCATATTTGAAGCTTTTACCACTGAGAAGGGAAGTTGTGCTCCAACATGAAGCCTGGACTTGGAGCTGTTGGTATCCTGACTTGCTGCTGCTGTGTCCACAGAGGGCCTGTGGGGAGTTCTGCTGCAGAGATCTGTGTGGGCAGGTACCCAGTGATAAGGAATAGAGCACAGCTTCCAAAGGGCTTTTCCACTGCAAATTGCCTTCTTTTAAAATATGTAAATAGATATATCCATGCTTTCCACCATTTTCTAGTTATGGTGGGTTTTCAAACATGTTGTGTGGTGCTTAACAGCCTAGACTAGAGCTGGGACTTTGGACAGGAAGTGAAGACTCAAACCCACTTTAACTTGACAAAAGCAATTAGCTTGTCAAGCTGTACTTTGATTTTTTTTTTTTTCTTTTCTCCCTGTGCAAGATTTCTGCTATCAATGTATCCGGGGATCCTGCTTTAACTGGAGAAGTTACCTTATTGTTGTATCTTTGTTTTTGAGGGCAGTCCTTCACGTGGTCTCTATTCTGTTTTCTCCGTGGAGCCATGTTCCACCTTCCATCTCTCCAGTAAAAGGGAATCCCAGCAGCCCTGTAACTTGTCAGAAGCCTCACTGAGAGAATTTCTTTTCCCTTAAAAGCCAGATTTCACCTTTGTACAGTTGCCAATAGGAATAATGTGTCTTCCTGAGTTTTTTACCTGCAGCCCTTCCAGGTGATTCAGAAGTTTAAGTCTCGGTGTTTGAATATACAACAGTGTAGGGGCTCCTGGCCATCTCCTTTCCTGTCCCTTTCTCCTCGCTGGATATCCTGCAGCCTAGTTTGAGATAGAAACATGGTTTTCTCTGCACTGTGCATTTGACTAACAACTTCTATCCCTAGCCTCCTTCCACACACTGCTAGGGTGACTTACTGTTTAGGCAAATGTGACGATTCAGGCCTAAAACTACAGGCTCTTCGCTGCTGCCATGGACTGCATTAATTGGGATGGGACAGTGTTTTAAGTTGATTATTGCTTGTCACAAAATGTTGCCCCAAGATCAAGTGAGAGACAAAACAGCCTGAATGAGGCGGATGCAATGAGGTAATTGTGGGTTTTAAACAGATGGCATTTACATTTTGGGGATGAGGTCCATTGGTAATTTGGGATGGGGAAAAAATCTGGTGGTAGTGTTAAGCTGACATTACAGAAAGTATTTTTTTAAATGTAGTTTGTTCTCCACCTGCCCCTGGTCCTGACTTGGGAGGTTGTGTCCCTGTCCCATTTTGGGATCTCTGACAGTTCAGGCAGCCTGGCAAAGCGTATGTTCACAGTCAGGGGTTAACTGGGAAAACTCCCTGCTGCAGAGGAAACTTGAACACTGCTTTGCTGTCTCGGAACTTTCCTTTTTACAAGGCTTTTTATTAGCATGTCCCAAATGTGGGCAGTCTGCTGTTCAGTGCTTCTCAGTGAGCAGACTTTAGCCAAGGACCACTGAGTTTGGGAGCTCACAGGTCAGTGCAGAAGCAACTTTGTCCTTAGAGTGAGCCAACCGTTGCATGCTGTCTTGGTGGCAAGGACTCATCCCTTCTGCCCTAATCTGTCAGCCTCTGTCTCGGCTTCCCTTTGGGCCTCCTGCCTGTCAGCCCAGCAGCCCTCCACCCTCCCAGATCCACTCCTATTGAAAATCTTTAAACTGCAGGAGCTGAAAGGATTTGACATTTTCCAGAACACTTGAGCTCAAGTGATAAAATTGACATAGCTTTAATAATCTGATCAAAGAGGCTTTAGCTAGCACCTTTTGAAAGATCCCAGAATCCTTTCCAAACAGCACTCGTGCTAACACTGCTGTGAAGTGGGGGGAGTGTGTATGTGTGTGTGCGCGTGCATCTGTGCATGCTCCACAATAACCTTGCCCCTCTAAAGCCTCAGTTCCACAAAAGGTGCGAAAAGTCAGCAAAACCCAACAGAAATTGCAGGAAAAGCCTTAAGTGTCTTGCTGAGTCTTTCCAATAACGTTGATTTTTTTGAAAGTAGCAGGGAGAGATTTTTATTTAAGGTGCATTATTTTACCAAGGTTCAGAAAGCAAGATGGTGTTTCAGGGGGAGAATTCCTGGGTGCCTTTTTTTTTTTAATCTCCTTTCCTTTGAGATTTGTGCATGATAAATAGTTTCTGTCCAGCATTTTAAGGAGCCTCAATGTTCTGTGTGCTTGTCTGTGTAGAGGGGTGCTGTTAAATTAATTGATAACAGGGATCAGAGCTAGAAGCCTACAGAAAAGGAGGGGGAAGGGTTTCACACTGTCTGGCTGCTTCCCACTCCACTGCTGAGCCATGATATATGGCGACCCAGCCCAACAGGCTAAATTGATTCATCTCTAGTTCCTGTTTCTTAATCTGGAGCTAAATTGGTTTCATTTTTCTTGTTTTGGGTGGTGCTTACAGGAAGTTTTTGGCAGCATCACTTTACTCCATTGTTTCTAACTTTAATTTTTGCCTTTAAATCTGAGCATTATTGATTGGCATGTTAAACCCCATGTAGCATCTGATTAGCATTTTTAAAATTGTCCAGAAGCACATGGCTTACCACCTGTGTCAGCTGTGCTCTCCATTTAGAGCAGTGGCTAATAGAGTTAGCAGCGATCCGTGTATTGATCCTTCGTTCATAAGAATGACGTTCCTTCCCCCTCCCCTCCTCCAAAAGTAAGTGTAGGCAAGGAGAGCGGTGTGGTTTTGTTTGTTTTTAATCCGTTAATACAGTACAGCAAGTGGTCCTCTTTTTGGCACGCAGCTGAAGCTCTCTGCTTGAGCAACTTAATTTAATCTAAACCTAGGTTTTCATGGAGGAGTCTCTTGCATGTAGAACTAGGTGGGTCTTGGGGTAAATCTGCATTTGTTGCCCTGCTCCTTGTGCCATGTCAGGTCATTGGTAGCTTGGGCAGGTTGACCTTGTCTGTGTTGTGTTGAACTTCAGATGGCAGCCGCAGATAATGAGACATGGTGCTGGTCCCAGCTTTCCTTTACAGCTGTGCCAGGTCCTTGGTAGCTCAGGCAGGTTTCTCACCATTGACCTTGTCTGCATTGCATTGAACTTCAGATAGCAGCCACAGGTAATGAGAGAGGTGGTACTGGTCCCGTGTTTCCTTCCCAACACTAAGGGATGTCTCAGCCCTGCTGAGCTTTTCTAGTGTCACCAACATGAGGCATCTGGGAGACACCCTGAGGTGCTGAAAGCTCATGGGGAGGGAAAAAGGAGTGTCACACCAGCTGAGCTCTGCCTGTCTGCTGAAGACCCCAGCCACCGCAAAGACGGTGTCTGGGGTCTTCAGCAGACAGGCAGAGCTCAGCCGGTGTGACACTCCTTTACCTTGACTTGAGATGCAGCTTTGCTCGGAGAGAGCAGCCGGTCCCTAATTGTCCTGGCATCCTCCCCGACTCCTCTACCAATGCTGCGCTCTCAGCTGAAGCACTGTTGTGCAGAGAGAGCTGCAAAAAGCACCTTCCCAGCAAAAGGTCTTCCTCCCTCCTCCCTCCTGAGATGCTGCCCGCAAGGGTCTGGTGCCATTTTGAAACCGAGGTTCCCTGGGGTTAAAAGCCAGCATCTTAATTCAGAGTGCCAATGTTCAATTTTGCTTTCTGCCACCAGACTAGATTGCAGGCCAGCGAGAGAGTCTGGGTTAGTGGCCCACTGGGTCACCTCCCATTTGTTTTCCTCAATTTTGTGTTGTCATAAATTCATTCCAGCCCGTTGTGGTTGATCAGTTTATCTCCGCCGGGGCAGGGAGCGCTGCGAGCATGATATATGGCACAGAGCATTGTAGCCAGCCTCTCCATGAATCACTCCAGCTGTTTGGTGTCAGCCCCAAAGCAAACAGGACCTGGCCGCTGAGCGTTGACTACGATGAGCTCAGTATGGGAAGAGACATGACGTATGAATGTTTATTTAATAATTCTCTAATATTTCCAGCGGAGTGTGGCTGTGCCTTCTGGGGGGGGTGAAGCAGGGGGGAGGTTGAAGAGGGAAACTCTAATCTGTTGGGGTGGGTCATAAATCAGGCAGACAACATCATTAATCAGGGATGGGACAGAAGTGGAAGGAGGTGGGACTGGAGCTGCCATCCTCAGTGGGAAGGGGGCTGTGCTCTTTTTTTTTTTCGTAAAACAAATCTTGTTTCTGATTCCACTTGGCCCCAGACGCACTGCCCGCATAATAGCAAACCTGGACACAAGGCTTTTTAAGTGAGTATGCTAACTCCGCTATAAACCTTGCGATACGAGCCTGCCAAGCATTAAATCCCTTTATAATTATCTTCTTTATATAACACTTCATGCTCATCATGCTTCATTGGATGAGATGCTCGTTGGGTTAAAAAGAGGGGTTTAGAGACAAAAAGCAATTGTATTTGTTATATTTTTCTCGTCTCCTCTTTCCTCCCCTTCCCTCCCACATCACCGCTTTCCAATCCAGCTGCTCCTAAAGCATCAGCTCCAGAAGGGCTCTGGTGTGGCCGCACAAGAAGAAATTGTTAAAATTAAACAAAGTTTAGGTTGGGGTCCTTGTGCAAAGAGTCAAACGTGTGAGAGCAGTCGGGGAGGTAGCGGTGTCTGTCGCAGGGACCCTGCTCCTGGGCAGGTGGGTCAAGATGAGAGAAGAGTGAGTGTGAAGCCAGAGGATTAGCAGAGGCCTGAAAGGGAAGGAGCCACACTTAAGCTGATGTGTCAGAGGGAAACAGCATCTGTTGTGAATTCACACCAGAGGATAAGCACTCCCCAGCCCTTCTCCATAGTGTCACACTACTAATGGGCTTTGGTGGGAGATGAGAATGTCATATAGCAAAGATGGAATTAAAAAATTGACTTGAGTCATCAATTAACTAAACCTTTGTGCTCTGGTAACAGAGAGCACAATGCTGCTGGTGGGTCCAGTCCTAGGTCAG